CTTGCTTAGCTCGTCTAATTGCAGAATGCACATTCTTCTAGAAAAGTGTGTCTGTAAGGTCCCTTGAAGCTGTAATGGGCTGAATTGTGTCCGCCTCAAAACCCCATGTTGAAGCCCTAGCGCTCACGACCTCAGAATGTGCGGCTGTGTGGAGATAGGACCTTCAAAGAGATAATTAAAGTTAAATGAAGACAGAAGGCTGGAGTCCTGATGCAGTGGGACTGGTGTCCTTTCTAAAGAGGAAGAGACACTGGGGACGCACACACACAGAGCACAGAGCCCGTGAGCTCACAGCAAGAAGACCGCCAAGCGGAGAGGCAGCCGAAGAAATCCATCCTGCCGGCTTCACCTCGCACTTCCAGCCCCCAGAAGTGCCACAAACACACTTCTGTTGTGTAATCCCCAGAGTCGGTGGCACCTCGTGACAACAGGCTGAGCAGACAAATACAATGAGCCTGATATTCTATAAGTTGCATCTTTTATTTGCATGATTGGAGGTGAAATCTATGAATAAGACTCACAAAATTCGGGGATAAATGACATAACATGTCCTCTTTTGTTAGGATTTCTTAGTAACCATGGAACATAAGGTAATATATAAGAGTAAAAGAAACACAATTCTGTTTTCCCTTCCATGAAACTTTTAAATTTCTTAGCATCCCAGTCAAGGGTTTATGATGTAATTTCAGAAAGCCCACATCTTGTTTTGAAAAATGCACTTTCTGTGGATGTATCTGAATGGTGGGTGACCAGAATGTGGCCCTACACATCCCAGGGACACTGGCTAAGTGAGTGCTCATTTGTATAGCATGACAAATCTTTGTTGGGAGCTGGGGTGAAATCAGATTTAAGTGAAGAGCCTGGTTTTGAATATGGGGGTTGAGGTATTGGTTCGCTTCATGAATACGGGTATGTAACACCCAGGAGCGAATATTTCAGCCAAGAAATAATGCACCAGGTTGTCAGGTCAGCTGTTTACGCGCTTCCATCCCCCCTCCTATGTCCACAGCACATTTGGATACCTTGCTCATCAGTCAGGACACCTGTCTCCCACCAAGTCTGAGCGTGGCTCGTGACCCCACATGAGAGAAAAGGAGCCCCCTCAGTGAATCAGGGAGGACCATGAGCTAAAACCGAAGCTGCTACAGAGGCTCCCAGTCTGTCCGCCTTTTAATTGTATGATTATCCTTTTGCTGTGGGTTGAACTGGATCCCCCAGAAAGGTCTATTTAGGTCTTAACCTCTGGGTACCTGTGAATGTGACCTTATTTGGAAATAGAGTCTCTGCAGATACAATCAAGTTAAGATGAAGTTATCTTGGATCAGGATGGGCCCTAGGGACTGGTGTCCTGATGAGAAGGGAAAATTTGGACAGAGCCACAGAGGAGCGACGCTCACAGAGAAGGTGGCTGAGGGACATGGAGGCAGGCATGGCAGTGGGGAGGCATCTGTGAGCCGAGGAGCGCCAGGGAGCACCAGGGATCATCAGGGATCACCAGGGAGCACCAGCAATGGCCCGAGGCCGGGAGACACAGCAAGGGAGGCTTCTCTGAGCCTTCAGAGGGGACATGGCTTTTCAACACCTTGATTTCCGACTTCCAGCTTCCAGAACTGTGAGAGAATAAACTTATTTTATTTTATATCACCCTCTTTGTGACCTGATTGTGGTCATTTGTTACCACAACCACAGGAAACTAGACACTTTAGCTCCTGCCAATTCCTTCCTATAGCATGGAAAATTTAGAGCCAGTGATGGCAATGGGTATAGGTAAAAAAGAAGACACACACACACACACTCACACACTCACATGCACACACTCACCCGCACACACTCACACACTCATACACACTCAATAATAAATGAAGAACATAAGCCCGGGGTTGTGTAATACAACATGCCATAAAAACTCACTTTTTCACTGACCAAAGGAGCATAGAACTACACAGTTAATCTTCAGTGAAATGATTCTGACACAAATAACTTTCATTTGAAATACTGCCTTTTATGCTGGAAAGAGAAATACGCTTTTTTGCTTGCCCTTGGCCAACACCAACTCTGAAAAAGTTCCTCTTATTCCAGCTTTCCTGCCTGAGCCCCCGAAGACCCGCAGCGACACCTCAGTGGCCCTTCTGGGGACCAGCGCTGCGCTGACCCTCACGGACGCCCACCCTGCCTGTTAGAATATAACACCAGCTACGGTGATGAGCCATTGCCTCCTATCCAGCCTCTCAGTCTTTGAGGGGGACTGAGATTCAAAGACAAGCTTGGGAGGGTCAAGTCATAGAATCCCTGCACTGAAAGGAGATAAAATGCGATAAAATGGGGTCATTTGCCAGAAAGCAAAACAAAGCCTTTTGCTTAACTACACAACCCACGTGCGGTGGTTAAGAAACTAGGGAAAGCAGACCTGGTGTTTTCCTTCCTGCTTCATATGCTTTAAGTTTCTCGTAAGTTGTAAGTTTCACAATGGGCCATGGGTCACCAGCCTAAACAGTTGAGACCGTTCTGGAAAGAGAGGGGATTTGACATATCAGGACATGTGTTTCTGAAATCACTGTGGAAAATCAATGCCCTTCCAGTCATGAAATCCTTTGATTGCCTTGATGAGATCATTGTAGTCTTCCGCAATGCTTCATGGTATAATTACCAAATTGTGCAAATTAATGCTATTTTTAGTTATTTTTTTTCTATAGAGACTTTAACACCAGCGCATTCTTTTACCAGATTCATAAATCTTAAGCAATTTCAGCCTGAGTAGGCAAAAGTTGAAACAAAGATGCAAGGCAGTGTTGAAATATTTAGAAGCTTGCTCTGAACCATTCCAAATCCATTATTTTTAGACTGAAGTTTTGAAAATACCACTTCATAATAATTCATAATCAGAAAAGTTCTCCACAACTATGGGAACTAAAGACCATTCACTGAGTTGAAAATTATGGAATAAACACCAATCCCAGGGAGCATAGTTCTGGATACCAATCATTCTGTGACAGTCACCCTGGCCTGGACCCATCTAAACTACATATGTGCGCCTGGCAGGCCTGGGTTCTTCGTCATCAGCCTCTTGGAGGACAACACCAGCCCCCGCACCCCACCCCGTGGTCCGCTACCATCTCCTGCCTGCAGAGGCCACTGCTTTCTGGAAATGAGACCCTCTCTTGAGGAACCCGTGGGCTTTATCTGGTCCCCGAGTAGAAAGAGATCTGCAGCTTTTTCCAGAAAGTTCAGCATGGAAAAGTTCCTCACAAGGAAGCTTCAGCAAGAATAAAAGTGGCAAGTAGGGTCAGGAGATCCCCTGGCCAGAGTTTGGTTCCAGATGTGGGCGTCTTAACTTCCTGAATGTGATTCCTCCTTCTGTGAACGTCTGCTTTTCATCAATCAACACGGCAGCCAACAAAACAGGATTTCATCAAGGTCCAAAGGAAGTGCTTGCTGACGTGCAGAAGTGCCACTAGGATGAAACTTTGAAGAAGGGGCTCGCTACCAGGCTGGGGGTGGGGGGCACATTTGTCTGACACCTCCAGCTGTGGGCTCCTTCAGGGTCCACCTCAGCTTTAAGACAAGGTCATGGTCCTCTTTAGGTGGCCCCAACCAATGACCCAGCAAGGCCATGCAAGGGCTTGGTTTTCCCACCCAACGCAGAGCTCCTCTCTTGGGCATTTTCCTCCAGCACTCCCTCTTGGGTGGGGAGCAGGGACTGTCTAGTCTGCACCACGGCCTGATGTCCCCCCCACCCCACCCCCACCGGCTCAGTCCTGCCCTCTCCCCTTAGCTATCACAGCCATTACCCCCAACAAACTCTTCATCCCTAACTCCATCTCCAGCACAGCTCTCCAGACAACCAGCCAGCTTACAACATGTTGTCAAACCCTTAGACACAGACTTACTGAATTCTAAAGAATCTAAAGAAAACAAAGGGAGTCAAATTTGGCTGAACCTATAAGAAAGGCAATTTTAGGAGGGGGAATGGGACTTGAGACCACCAACTGGCATATATTTAGAGGACAGAAAATAGGATTTTAAAAAATTGAAAGGGTACGAATTTTATTAGTTTATTAAATTATTAATTTATTAATCTTGATTTTTCAGTTTTCCTTTCATGTCTCAGAGTCCACATATCTTTTATCCAAATTACCATAATTTTTTTGGTGAGGGGAGGTGTGGAGGGTTGCTTAGAAGGTCATAGGCCCTTTGTGTTTTTGGGTTTTTTTTTAAGATTTTATTTATTTCTTTGAGAGAGAGACAGAGAGTATGAGAGAGAGAGGGAGCATGAGCAGTGGAGAGGCAGAGGGAGAAGCAGGCTTCCCGCTGAGCAGGGAGCCCGATGTGGAGCTCGATCCCAGGACCCTGGGATCATGACCTGAGCCGAAGGCAGATGCTTAACGACTGAGCCACCCAGGCGTTCCTTAGGCCCTTGGTGCTTTGTGCACAGTAAACAACCAGTAAGGAGTGCTGGTCTGGGATAGCCTCTTTTTGTGTCTGTCAAGGAATTCTCTGGCCCATTCTCAAGGTCAGCATTTCTACCGGTGAATGCAGAGATGCCGCCCACACACGGCAAGGCCACAGCAAGTGTGTGTGAACAAAAGGATAGAAACTTTCTCCTGGGAGCCTAGTGCCCTTGGAGGCGGAGCTCTGGGAGGATTCTGCAGCAGATGGGAACTCTTCAGCTTCCGAATCCGACATTTCAGCTCCCAGGTCTGGGCTTGCAGATCTGGGCAGGGTCTCTGGGAGCGGTCTGTGCTGGCCTTGGTGAAGCTGGAAACAAAGTGCCCAGGGAAGGTGTGGGGGCACAAATAGGCTAGCCCGGGGCGCCTGGGTGGCTCAGTCGGTTGGGCGACTGCCTTCGGCTCGGGTCATGATCCTGGAGTCCCGGGATCGAGTCCCGCATCGGGCTCCCTGCTCGGCAGGGAGTCTGCTTCTCCCTCTGCCCCTCCCCCCTCTCGTGCTCTCTCTTTCTCATTCTGTCCCTCAAATAAATAAATAAAATCTTAGGAAAAAAAAAAAAACAAATAGGCTGGCCCCTGGAGCAGGAGCAGAGCTGGGACGGAGCGCAGGTTTTCACAGAAGAAAACACCAGCTGCACTGAGGTGACCATCTCGAGCTTTGTGACTGGGCCCAGCTGTTCTCTTCCCTTGTGGTTCCTGCCTCCATGCTTTGTCACCTGCTCTGGGCCCTGGAATGCCCATCAGCTGGATTCCCACGCATGAGCTCTGGTTGGGTTCGGCCAATGAGGAGCAGCTGGAGATCGGAGAGAGGAAGGGAGTGGGGGAGGGGTTGGGCATTATCCCCTTGGCTCCCTCCTCCTCCCCAGGGAGGTCGCCACCCACAAACCATCCCCGTCCCTCAACCAAGGATCCCTACCCCTCTCCAGACACCTGAGTCTTCACCCTGACTGCTCAAAGCACCTTCCACTCTGAGAGGTCCTGGAGAGATGTGTGGACACTGGCTCTCGCCCCTCCAGTCAGAGTGGGCATCTAACCAGCTCCGAGGTGCACCTTTCAGAGGCTCCACACCTGTGCTCCCTCCAGGCTCTGCTTACTCTCTGTCCCTCCTCCCCTCGGACCCGTGAAGGTACCAGGTCAGCGTCTACTAGCTCTGGTTATTCCTGGCTCCCACTTGCAAACGAATGCCTCCGGGACTCATCTTACCGCGAAAGTGCATCTGTTTTCTGTGCGACCCTGACCGGCTCCCCTCTTCCACGTCCTCCGCGGCCTGCACCCCCTTTCCAACTCCCCATCTCTGACAGTGGCATGTGTTCTGTTGCTTACTTCATCAGCAGGTTCGGGACACGCTGACTGAGGTGACACGTCAGGGTTGGGGCCAGAGGCTGGACAGAGAAGAGGCCTCCGAGCCCGGGCATCCCAGGGACTGGGCTTGACTCTGTGGGAGAAGGAGTCCCTGGAGAGCCCAAGAGATGAGAGAAGGGGAAAGGCCAGGGGACGGGAGAGGGATGAGACAAGAGGGGAGAAGAAACAAAGATGCTGGGTCACGGAGACAAATGGAGAAAAGTACTAAGGTTTGTTTAAACTTCATTTTGATGAGTTGATGGCCTCCCCTGTAAGCACACTGCAAAGGCATCACACAAACCTGCGCACAGCTGAAGGCAGGGGTCTCTGCAAGTGTTTCCCCAATACTGGTTCCTGCACCCCGCGCTCTGCTGAACCAGTCCCTTCACCCCACGCGCCCCTGCCAAAGGCCCCCCTTCCTCTGTTCGTATTCATGCTCAGCTCCAATGCCCCAAATCCTAACAAGGCGTCTTCACCCCAGCTTGTGTTCCATCGGATCCCCAGGCCCATGCTGGGGCACCCCGACCCTGGCGTCTCCCCAGCAGCCCCTCCCTGGCCCTCGCCCCCCCACCCCTCCCCAGGCCTCCCAGGCTGCAGAGGGAATGAGCGAGATCTCTTCTGCAGTGAAAAATGAAGCCCCGGGCAGGCACTTTCCCTATTTAAATCTAAACCAAATTAATTTGGGGAATGGCATTTGCGGTTTAATTCCTAATGACTGTACATGAGTGGATACGTCCTATTTTCTGATGAGATATTTCACCGTCTCTCCCACAAAAATGGCAAAATGAATCAGTGTAGAAGTGATGGATGTGGAGAAGCCAACTGTAAACAAAAGTAAATGCGTTTTCCCAGTGCAAACCCTCTCGTAATCTGAAGGACGCTGCTTCATATCCCCCTGAAGCCTCATTTGTAACATGAAGTGGTTAAAATGGATGATCTCATACTCTGTGACTTCATGGGTTTCTATGGTTTTATAAGGCGAGAATGGGACAAAACAGCTGCTCACAGAAGGAAGGTTCCTTTGGTCTGACCACTTTTTCCTGGCCTCTGTGTGAAAGGGAAGGGGTCAGAGGCAACACTCAACAGTGGAGACTGTCAAGCAAGGACACACCCTCATGGGGTTGGGGTCCCCGTTCTTCCAAGGAGACTGAACAGGGACAACCTGCTGCTTACCAGCCTCCAGCAACTGGAATTCCTTCTGACTTACCCACCTGCCCAGGGAGGACCACGGCCTGACCTCCTCATGCTGCTCATGATCCCTGGGTTGGTTTGGCTTGGTTTTAATATTGATTCGGTTGTCACTATAAAAGCAGAGCAAAGTCACTTGTGGAAATTTTCAATAAACAAACAAAAAGAAAAAAAAAAAAAGGAAAGGAAATTCCCTAAAAGGTCTGGCACCTAAGGCTAACTGTCGGCTTTCTTCCACATTTCCTGCCACTTGTGTTAGATGTGTGATTTTTTTTTT